TACAGCTACTTTCTCTTAGTTCAATGAAAAGAAAGGTTTGCACTAATATTGTTTAGACAAGGTATCATATCTGCATCTTGTCCTCTGAATAACTACTATGAAGGAAACAATATGCAAGGTATTAATTATTGTAACTGTCCTATTAACCTGTTTTGAAACTGTTTCATTGTTATTTTTTCTCATTAAAATGAATGAAAAAAATTTTAAATCCAAATTTAAAATGATAAAAACTATGTCTGAGATTTTGATACAGCAAATGTATTAATAACAAAAACACACTCTAATAGCTCCGGCCTTTGATTCCAGGAGAAAAAGAAAAATGTGCTCTAGAGGTTATGATGCTGTGATAACTTTTTAATCTAAGACATAATTATTTTCATCTTTCTCACAGTTTTTAATATACTCTCTTTCTCTTCATGAATTACAAGATCAGATAATATCTAAAATTACCTATAAATTGTGCATGCAGTTACAAATGTCCATTCTTAGTAAGTACTTAAAATTGCAATGAATGTTTACAACATTTGGATTGATTTCTGTATCCAAATATGGATTATAAACACTTAGGTTGTTACTCGTAGAAAAACACCATCATCATCATTAAACAGCATTCACTGATGGTTTTGCCCTATCTGTTATTTTTGTTCTATTCTTTAGTTAAGATTTTGCATTAGGTGACGCAATGCCATGAAGAACAGAAAAATGGCAGAACACGCCTCAGTTCATCTGTCCAATGCTTATTCACAGTACCTAAACACATCCTGTAATTCTGTGGGTTTTTAATCAAATAATTTTTTTAAATGACTCAAAAATATCAACAATCTTTACTCCACCAAAACAGAACTATAGAAATTAATAAAGAATAAGAGATGAAGTTCAAAACAACTCAATACAAATGCATTGTATTTGAATACTAAGGCAAATATTAAAATGACACTGTGAGATAAAACCTAAAGCTCACCTCTCTATGGCCCATGGATTCCTGCCTCGTGGCTGTTGATGTGCCCCAGTGTACACACAACATTTCTTAACAGTCACAGTCAGAAAATCTTTCTCTTACAATCACGCTTCAATTACTAGTTTTAAACCTGAATGGAAGCCTATGAATTAACCTAAACAAAATAGTGGCCTTCCCCAATCCTACCACCTATTTTCTGTGCTACCTTTATTTTAAAAGCTGCACTTAGGGGTGGTACGCCGTACCCCACAGTGTTTCCTCAGCAACTTCCACCGTGCCCCAGGGCTACATATCTGAATTCCTCCACATACTGTATTTCTAAAATGTGTAACACATCTAAACCTTGGGCTTTCGTATGCATGAAATCCAGCACGTTTTCAGGCTTTCTTGTGGGCCCTTATAATAGTGACTGTTAGTAGCTGTAGATAGAAGGCAACCTCCACAAAAAAGACAATGGATACAATGAATTCAGAAGAATAAATTATGCTTCTTCTGAAATTAACATGAAAATTCTCTTTAAAAGATTATGTTGGATCCACATTTAAATCTTGTTTTTGTGCTCAGCCCAAATGAAGAATTACTTTTGTCTAAATAGCATTAAGTATACCTGCCATAGATAACCCAAGGATATTCCTGACTAATCCCCTTAATCCCACATGGCATAAATGTTTTTTGTTTAAGTTGAATCCAAGTGCTTTAAGCTTTACTGTGTACAGTTACATAACATTTGTTGTACACCATTTTTTGTTGAATTCTGTCTTGTTTACTTCAAAAGAAAAAATGAACAAATACAACTTTTTGATATATTACTATTCATCTATTTCATATTAAAGTGATAGGAATCCTTCTCCACTGCTGGTGGGAGTGTAGACTGGTTCAACCGTTATGGAAATCAATATGG